AACAACCTTGTAAATAAGATATTCTACTTTTATTTTCATGGTCGGACATGCCCATGAGACCTCAGCTTCCATCAATGACAATGTACATCTATTAAAAGTGCAAACAGGCACACAAATATACACATTGAGCTGGTGGCTGTGGAGTAAATGAATATAGTAGTAATTTATATAATATTTCACCATTATTGAAGAGCCAGCCATATGGCTCAACTCATTAACTATGCTACTTTGTTTATTCTATTGGTCGTTATTAGACTAAAAGCAAATTACAAACTTATTGTTTACAAACATTGGTGTTACTAGTAGAGCTATTGGTTTGCTGTGAAGCTGTCAGAAGATCACACGGCTGCAACATCTTGAAACCCTGTCTGAAGTTGTCTTTATGATTATTTAACATGTTGGTGTGACTTGTTCAGGAGTGCACTGTGCATGTGTTACACTTAACATATCGGATTCTGTTTCACAAGCAACTGTTAACCATAATGCATATGGTGGGTAACAAGATCAAAAAGTATTTATTACAGGTTATTATTACATTTTATTGTGCTTTTTATAGTGTCAAAGTATTCCACAGCTGAAGTGGAGAATGGACCCACTAATAAGTTGAGAGAGCAATGACAGTTACGCTAGTAGTCCATAGGCTATTCTGAAAAGGTGCGTTTTTCACAGACTTCAAAAGGCAACAGTACATAAAAAAAACACACAACTGCATTCAAATGCCAACTGTCAGGAAATAGGTGACCCAACACACAGAATAATAAACCTAACAACTATAATACCGGTCCTTAGAATGGCCAGATAAAAATAGTCAAAGATAGGCCTAGTCGGAGGGAACCAGAAGAACCAAATATGAAAAACCAGAGCTGAGTCAGGGGACTCTGACAGGGGAAGTCAGAGAATAAGCCAAGTCAATACCAAAATCACAGAACCAGAATATAACGCACCCTTGGGACACTTGCAAACTAGGCACCACAACATGATTTTTCATATGATTGGGGCGTGATCAATGTAGTCACGCCCCCAAAATGTAAGAGAACGTTTGTAAACCCCACCTTCTGTACTGCCTTTAGCCTGGCATAGGCACGCGTGCACCACGTCATAAAAAGGGTCGGGCGCACGGCGGCCTCGATGCTGACAGATCGGATCGGAGGAGGCGGTCCCTTCACTTGCCGATGCTGCCGATCGGCAGACCGCCAGGTTAAGTAACGGATTCCTGACACCAACACTATACACAAATACATATGTACATTCAAATACTCAAAACATACTTACATTTGTCATCAGTATTTTTTTTTCTATTGCATTAAGATGTGTTTATTCATTAAAAAAAATGCAATGCTCTGTATCAACAAATACTATAGATTTTACATGCTTTGAATTAGCCTTACAACCAGAGGGACATGCTAAATTGTGTTCTGCCCCTGGTGACCATAACTCTGGTTGTGCTATTGCTGCCCAGCAGAGTGCAGCGTCAGAGTGTTGACATGGTATCCCACAGCAGGACTCTCGCGAGAGAGAAGTCTGCCTCTTGTGCTCTGTCTTCCTTGCTATACAAGTGTACAATGATCCAGAGAGGGAAAACTTGAGATATATATATATATATATATATATAGGAGAGAGAGAGAGAGAGATACATATACTTTGCATATATATACACACATCAATACTATATAAATCCAATAAAGATACTTCCTCTTGAAGACATATTAAAAGGTCTTTCTCAGTGACATCACACTTCTCATAGAGAAGCACCTGATTGGTGGAGCAATGGGATTGCATGTACCGTAGGTTACCAATGCTTCTCAATGAAACATTGGACTGAAGTAGATTTCATCAGTATTGATGATCTCAGAAGAGGTGAAGCAGCTAGAGTGAGCAGACTGCCTTGGTGGTGGATTAAGTGCAAGTTATTTTAAAAAAAAAAATTTTTTATTATTTAAAAATGGGAGAGGGCCTGAATGCAATAGGGCAAATGAATACATCAAATAAGATATTTATTTTTAAAATATTCCTTTCATAAATTAAAAAATACAAAAGCTGATAGCCCAAAGAAATATGTCCATTAAAGGGTGACATGTAATATGCCAATTTACACAGAAACCAACTCTTAAAGCACTTACAACCACATTGATGTAAGTAATGCATTAGCTAATGATACATTTCTGTTGTTGCTACTTCCTGTTCTTCACTCCATAAAATTATTTTGAAGTGTTTACTGGCATGAATAATGCAACACGTGTTAAGAAAAACAGTAATATACTTATTTTTGTTGCACTTCTGTGCTCACCGACCTCATGATGCCTTGGAGGAACTCATTTCTCCAGGAGTGCTGTATGCATCCACGACCTCACAAACTGCATTGCAGACAATTATTTTAAGTTGCATTACATGCCTGGGTAGCCAGACAGAGCATGAATATGAAAACAAAAAAAAATTAGTAAAGTTATTAAAAACTAACTAAGCACAACATACAGGTAACTTTAAGTTAGCTATTAGTTTGCATAAATCTCACTAGTGACAGTTCCTCTGTAATTGGCCTCGGGTCAAGACATTTCAAGTTCTTTGTAGGAAGTGAGACATGTTACTGACATACTGAAAAACTTTTTCTTTAAACAATAAGTTTCGGTGAGCTGACAACCAAGTTACAAAATTTAAAGGGAGGACTCTATAATTATTTTATCTCAACTAATTGTTTATAGTGCCTGGAGTTCCCGCAGCCTGGCCCCCAATGGAAACATGGCTAAAGCAGAAATTACATACTTTCCTTTTCTAGCAATACCAATTCATACCAGCAGTAAATGCTTTGATAGGCTGAAAATGGTCAGCTGAAACTCTCAGCCACTCACAGCTGCCCATTGCAGCTTAGGCAAATGTTTGCTCATTAACCCAAGCAGCACAGAGGGGATGGGTTACTAGGCCATGAAATCATTAAAAACATATTTAACACTGCATGTTGCAGTGCTTACAAGGTCCCATTAACCTTAGGAAAAAAATCTCAGCTTAAACAAGAGTTCTTTTCAATCTGATTTTTTGGGGCTAAATTTTGTATGTCGTACTTAGCATCCATATGACCTTGGAGTAGTGAATTGAATGAAAAATATTGAAGATGTTTATGCCTCTGTAACCAGTTGCCTGTAGAAAGGTTCTAGAACTTTATAATTTATGTAAATGTATCAAACTATACTTCCCAAAATGTAAACTAAATCCCACCTACAGGGTCCATATCTGAGTCAGCCCGCAGGGCCGACTCATGTTGGCCAACAGGGCCCAACCCCATTCCACCACCATTTTAAGGCATACTTAAATGTGTGTGTTTGGGGGATATAGTGTATGTGTATAGTGGATGTAAGAGATACAGCTTGTGTGTACGGCATGCAGTGTGTGTGTGTATAAAAGATGCAGTGTGTATAGTAAATGCAGTGTGTTTCTTGTGTGTATAGTGTATGCACTGTGTATAATTTATGCAGTGCATGACTTTGTGGGGTAGGATAGGGACTGTGATCTGAACAAAGTGAGAAGAGCAGTTTTTTTTTTGCTTTATTTTATGTTTTTGCCTCATACCTCTTGGCAGGGAGAGTTACCTGGTCCAGTGACTCCTATATTCACTCTGCTGGCAGAGTTTCCTAGCAGAGTGCAGCGTCAGAGCATTGCCATGGTAACCCGCGGCAACACTCTGACTGAGAGATACTAGATGTATACATTTGTAATATGGGAACTGGACACACTGGGTCCCTTACAGGTGTACGGCCTGTACCCCCCTGATGGCGGCCTTGTTTCCAGTTAGAAAATGTTGTCAGTCTGTGTCTGAACTTTGAGGTGGCAGTGGCTGGGTATTTGTTGTGTAAAGATATAGAGGTGTGTTCCAACTTCCTGTTGCAGTGTATGTAGTGTACACTCTTGGAGGATGTGTGGAACAAGAGTTGTGCTACTGGAAGAGAGATTAGCAGGTGGATAAATGCTAGTCTATGGCTGACCCAGTTTTGCGTCGATCCAAAGTGTCAGTGACATAGACTTCCCACCAGATTGATCAACTTCTTATGCTGGGAAGAAAAAGGGTATTTAGGGAGAAAAAATACATAAAATATGGCAATGGGTCCCTAAGATATGTAAAAACCAGAGGAGAAATAAAATGGCACTGTATATTCCACATTAATACATCTCATTTAACATTTTTTCACACATGTTGTCCAATAGGAATAAAGATGAGTTTACATATTTGCCAAAAGTACTAAATTGTTAAGTACACTTTTATTTGGGATCTCTGTTCTTACATGTCAGGAAAGGTACAACAGAGAAAAGAGTAGCATTGGTTTTAAAAATAAATAAATAAATAAATATGAATTATATGGTCATGGCAAGGTTGGCCAAGATATAACCTAAAAACAACACCTCGAACCTTTCAGAAACACGTGTAAGGAATCACAGACATGCTTTCAAAACAAGTAATAGACTTCTGGAGAAACAACAGTCTGCATGATTATTATTAATATTATTATTGTTATTTATATAGAGCCAACTTATTCTGCAGCGCTTTACATTATTATGATAAGTGGGAAATTTAACAATAAGTGAGACAATTACAAAATGATATAGGAACAATAGGTAGATGAGGACCCTGCCATTAGGAAATAAGATGCAGATTGGCAATTTGCTATTTTTATTCTGAGGCATTGAAAGGGTTGGTTTTATGAAAGAAATGAAACAGATTTAAAAAATTAAACAAGTAACAAAGAAAAGAAAAGGACATAGTTATATGATCAAAATGTTGATTTTTCTTTTTTCTAAAAATAGTAAAATGGGCAGAGGGGAGAAATTATATTCTAGAGCTATATTAGATCACCTATTAGAATTAGATTTTTTTTGAAGACGCAAATCAGAAAAAAACAAATCTGTACATTAATATTATGAACATCTGCACATAATAATCCTTTCACTTAAAAAAATAAATAAAAATTTATTCAAGGTTGTATTGTAAAACAATTATATTGTGTCACTTGTAGTTGGCGCAACACCCCCACATATGGATATCTTTACATCAGCAAGTGTATAGACAGGGTAGACATATAACATGACATCAACATATAAGAAGTGAACGTAACAAGATTGTTTTTATCATAACTGCCAAATGTACCATACTGAACAAGCCTGCACATATCGTCTTGTGTCTCATCCATTCCCTTCCTGTTGCCGTCCCATCATTGCAATCGTGCTCGATATACTAAGCTAAGCCCATCTAATTGGTTAGTTACTGTGGTGTGTTCTTTCGTCGTGTTATGTGTGTGCATTTTCAGTCTCTTCCATTTGGTACAGAAACTGACTCGTAGACAGCGTCTCTACTTTCCATCCCTCTCCCGCCCCACCCAATGGCCCGTTCCCGGGACCTGGAGGGAGAAGCCACAAAGCCAAGCCGGCCGGGCCCCCTTCTCTGCAGGATGGAAGCGGAGGGTGGCGGTCAGTTGTATCAGAATACGGAAGCCGGGGAAAGAGGGAAAGAAGGGGAAGAAGAAGAGAAAGAAAAAAAACTGAAAAAATAAACATAGAAGTGTAGAAAGAAAGAAAGAAAGAAAGAAAAGGGGGTTTGTAGATTTTGGGAGGTAGAGAGAGTGTACAGTAATAGTGCCCTCATCAAGGCTGTCACCCCGCTCCATCTCACTTTCCTCACCCCCTCATGCCTAACCCACTCCCCCCCTTGCTGAACAAGATAGTGACAATGGCGGGAAGAGGTATTCGACATCTAGTCTCAATTGTTGCCCTCCGGCCTGTTGTTTGGCTCTTTGGATAGCCAGTTTGTCCAGTGGTACCAAATCCCATGGTATAGTTGGGCCTTTCCAATGTGAGAATGAGCTATTCAGTCCCTCTTATGTCCTTCACTCGCCATATCCAGTCTGTAGTGGAAGGGACCGTCTTCTGTTTCCAGTGGCAGGGTATAAGGTTGCGCGCCGCATTGGTCAAGTGAGGTATCACTGTCTTCTTGTATCTCATGATTGGCATTGGGGTAATGTGCAGTAGGTAGGCCTCTGGTGCTAGTGTCCGGTATTGTGGAAATTATCTTATGCACTTCCTCCCAAAAGGGCTGGATTTTCCGGCAACTCCACCATATGTGGAACAGCGTACCAAGTCTATGCTCACACCTCCAGCGTGCTGGGTCACAATTGAGGCCCATTGTGGAGAGCCTCTCTGGAGTCTTGTACCAATGAGATACCATCTTGTATCCTAACTCCTGATATTTCGTGCTAATGGATGACTTATGTGTGAATACAAATACATCTGTCCATTGTTCATCTGTCAGTGGGTGTCCCAGATCCCCTCCTAATATTTGGTAAAGTATGGGAGCTGGTTTCCACTGTGAGTGGGTAGTAGCATATGATAAAGTAGTGAAATGCAATGTGACGGTATTGTATCTTGAACGCACATTGCTTCATATATGGTTAATTGTCTGTTTGCCAAGTCCAAGTGTGGGTTGGATTTAACATTTTTTGCCAATTGGTGATACCGAAACTGAGCTAAAAAGTCCAAAGGGTTAGAGGTGTAACTCGTCCTCCTGAGCATATATCTTTTAGTCGGCACTGCCGTGGCAAGCCCAGTGAGGTCAGGCAGCAATATGTCCGCTGGCCTGAATAGTGGATTCCCCGCGATAGGGTACATAGGAGACACTGACGCTGACAGGTCTCTCTGCAGTGCTATTTTCCTCCATATAGTCCAGGTAGAAGTAATAGTGGGGTGGTCCTTCGGAAGGGTCACCTTTGATCCCTCCGGGATCCACGGCAGCACTGTGTCACATCTTGCCATGTTCTGCGTAGATGTCTGACTTTGGCTTCTGGTATCCAGTACTCTTTTTACAATTCTTGTTTAGTTTTTCTGGTTTTCTATTCCATGTCTGGTTTTCTTTATGCTGGGTTTTTCTGAGTTCATTCTTGTATTCCGTCCTGGGAATTCCCAGTCTCCAGGGTTCCTTTAAATGTTTGTTTTAGGTTGCCACACCCGTTCCTTTTCCATGATTCCTTTTGTTTCAGTAGGAGCCTGCAGGCAGTTGCTCAAGCCTTCTGTCCTTTCTTGCAGGTAAGTGCTATATGTGTTTCTTATGGTTCTTTTAGCTTGCATTAGGCAGAGAAGGACCTGCTAGATATGGGGTACATTGGCGTTGTTGGCAGGCTTATGCAATGTATGATCATATAATGTAACTAAATCCCCATGATTTTCATATATATTTCTTAGTTATTTCTCCTCTTGTTTTGCCTATCATGTCTTGTTTTAGTTTGTATTCCCAGTCCATGTACAGTCCTGTCCTGTCCTGCCCACGTTTAGTTAATGGTTCCCTTATGTACTGTGTACATGTTAAGGGTTTAGCTTCCTATCCTTCATTGGTTCTGGGTTCTACTAGTTCTGTCTTGTTTTCATTTTTGGTAACTATCCTAGCCTTGCCTTGTTTCTTTACTGGATACATTCTTGCTGCAAAGCCTCCCTATTCAGCTCCTGGGAAGGATTGCTTACTTAATAGCTTCAAGTTCTGGTTGTGGTATGTGGCCGCACAAACGCTGGTGCTCAACACCAGGGGGCGTGTGGTTACCCTGCACCAGGCCCTGATGACCCACTTCCATGCTGAAGACTCCCAACTTCTCATCAGGCACTCTAGGGTACCGGTTTCCGTACCGCCACCGTGACACACTGTCAAAGGGATCATGGAAAAGCTGCGTACTATTGCAATCCAGAGTTTCTCAGGGAGGGGGTGGAGTGAGTCCACTCTATGATCCTCTGCATGTGTACTGCATGGCTGTATTTGGCAAGGTCTGGTGAGCCCAACCCCCCCGTTGTTTGGATTGGGTGAGGATCTCGTAGCTCAGTCTCGCCTACCGTCTGTGCCAAACGTATTGATTGAAGGATCTGCGAATTGAGGAGAAGAACCCGTGGGGTATAGCTAATGTTAGGGTCTGGAGAAGATACAAAAATCTGGGTAGTGCTTTCATTTTAAGGACATTGATTCTACCTAGCCAAGTGATGTGTGGGAGTGTCCACTTCTGTGGGTCCCTTTGTACTCGCTCCAGCAATGGGGCGAAGTTGAGTCGGAACAAGTCAGATAGGTTCACCCACACCCATCTTCCAAGGTACTTTATGGCCTCCCTACACCAGTGGAAGGGGAATGTGGTGCAAGTTGCCCGTTCAATGGTTTGACTGCATGCTATGCTGAGGATTTCTGATTTAGAGTATTTTATCTTTAAGTGAGACAGTACGTAATACATTTCAAGTTCCTGCATGATCGCGTGCAGCGCGATTTGTGGGTTTGTTACGGAGAAGAGTAGATCATCAGCATAAGCAGATACTTTACTCTCTCCCCAAGTCCCTCTTACACCCTCTACTCGGGAGTTACCCCTTATTGCATTAATGAATGGTTACAGGCTAATGACAAAGAGTAGGGGTGACAAGGGGCACCCCTGATGAGTTCCGTTTGGTATGTCGAACAGTTGAGATAGAATGCCATTAACACAAACTCGTGCTGCCGGTTTGGAGTAGAGGGCTTGTATCCATGAAAGCATGTGGGGTCTGAAACCCACCTGTCAGATTGTCGACATGAGGAAGGACCAATCCACCCTGTCGAACGCCTTCTCCGCATCTGTGGATATTAGCAGTGAAGGGGATGATTGCTTCTTGGCTGCGCGTACCAGGTTCATCACCTTTACCATGTTGTCACAAGCCTCCCTTCCACCTACAAATTCCACCTGGTCCGGGTGTATGAGTCCCGGTAGGAAGGGTTGGATGCGGAAAGCCAGTAACTTCATGAAGAGTTTGAGGTCGGCGTTCAACAGGGAGATCGGTCTATAGCTGGCGCATGCCGTTGGATCTTTTCCCTCTTTTGGCAACACCACAACATGGGCCATTAGCATGTTGAGCTCCAGGGAGCCCCCAGTACTGATTGAGTTAAGAACTTCTAATAGGCGTGGAACCAAGACCTTTAACATAGGTTCTGTAGTATTGTATGGTGAAGCCATCCGGCCCCGGACTTTTTCCCGTTTTGCTAGTTTCACAGCCAGTAAAAGCTCCTCCATGGAGATGGGTACTTCATTTGCCTCCTTCACTCCTGCACTCAGCTTAGAGGTGACATGTTGGATAATGTACTTGTCTGTCTTGAAGGGCAGAAGTGTTCATTTCTGTTCCCTCGGGTGTGGGTGCTAGATTATATAAGGAAGTGTAATATTGTCTGAAGCCCTCCACTATAGCCTTAGGAGTCAGGTGGAGTGACCCCCATGGTTCAGTTTCTGTACAAAGCATTTTGTGACGTTTGGCTCGCAGGGCTCTGGCTAGCATATTGCTGCATTTGTTTCCATACTCATAGAACGATTTCTGATGAAGCCGGAATTGGAATAGGATCTCTGATGTTAGACATGATTGGAGCTTCGCTCTGGACACTGACAGTCGTTTGTATGTGTCATCGTCCATTGTGGCTTTATGTTGAGTTTCGAGGTTCGGATTTTGGGTTATCAACTCCGAAATCTCTTGAGTGCAGAGCTTTTTGTGGTGCGATCCGTGTTTGATCAGTAGACCTCTAACCACACATTTGTGGGATTCCCAAACCGCGGATGGGTTAGCGTCTGGAGTAGCGTTTTGTCAGGATGAACTGTTCTAAGTTTATGTAGATGTCCGCTTTGATTGTTGGGTTTTCCAGTAGAGCCTCGTTTAGTCTCCATATCCATTGTTTTTGGGAGGGGCCGGAGGTCTGATGGACATGGTCACTGGCGCATGGTCCGACCACGTCATCGGTGCTATGCGCACTGATATGAGGTTATCCAAGTTGCGATGTTGCATGAGAAAGTAATCTAGTCGGTAATACGACTTGTGCGCTGTCGAGTAGAAGGTGTAATCTTTATCTACACAATGAAGTGTGCGCCAGCAGTCCGATAGCTGATGTTCGCGTAGAAGGGCTCTGGTGCCTCTTATGATGTAGTCCGGGAGCGTCATTGTTCCAGATGATGTGTCCAGTTTCAGGTCCAGAGGGACATTAAAATCTCCTCCTGTCACAAGCGTACCTTCACTAAAGGAATCTAGAGCATTAAGCGTAGATCTTAAGAAATTTCTGTCCTTTCTTAGGGAGGTATAAGTTTGCGAACGTAAACATTGCATTGTGAATCCTTTTATCTGCCTTTCGGGTCCGATAGTTCTGCCTCCTTCAGAAAGGGGACGTCTGTCGAGAAGAGAATAGCCACTCCCTTGGATTTGAAATCCGTATTATTGGCAAAAAAGCCTATCTGGTAGTATTTTTTAGAAAACCTTGAGACTTGAGTCAATAAGAAATGGGTTTCTTGGAAGAAGGCGATGGATACCCACATTGCTCGCAGTTCCCGGAGGGCTCATGCTCGTTTCTGAGAGGAGGTAAGTCCCCTTGCATTTATGGTGTATAACACCATCTCCTCCCTGGGTCCCACCCTGCCGGGGGATGGGGAGCAAGAGGCAGCGGCAGAGGGTTTTTCGAAAGGGGAAAGTAGAGAAGAGAGAGAGAGAGAAAAAAATAAAAAAGTGTATTTTAATATTAATATATATATATAAAATTAATATTAAAATCCACTTTTAATAATGGTGTATGTGTGTTTATGTACATGTAAAAGTACTTAGATCATATATATATATATATATATATATATATATATATATATATATATAATCTAAGTACTTTATATGTATTTTACAAACTTTTATTTAACTTTCACTAACTTTTAAAACTTTTTTTTCGGGGACTAGGGGGCCTGCCTGAAAGCTCAGGCAGGCCCTCTGCAGACACTGCACAAGCTGGCTATTCCGCCCATGTGATCGTGAGGACCCCGCAATCACATGGCCCAGGAGGGCTGAATCGGGCAGTGGGAGATCGCGATTGCCGGTGGGGGATTTCTAGCGATCAGGTAAGCGGCGATTTACTAAATGACGTATCAGGTACGCCTGCGGTCGTTACCAACCGTTTTTGTAGGTGTACGTACCTGGTACGCCATGGGCCGGGTAGGGGTTATTAAAGTATATGTAAACACATTGAGAAAACCTCTACATTAGTATATGACAGGATTCGTTATCTATATACATGCAACTTGGGTCAGACAGTGTTTGAAACTGACTGTTAGTTTCTATGGGATCTTTGCTTCACTCCCTGCACAGTGCAGTGATATTATCACATTAACTAACTGGCCAATTCAATCACTGTCTGACTCAAGGTACATGTATATGGCTGAAGGATCCTGTCGTATACTAGAAGTAGGGATTTGTTTTCTCAATTTATTTTTTACATGTACTTCATTTAAAAATAAAAAAAATCTATTTCCTTTCAAAACTTGATGAAAGCATTATTAGATAAAGGAACACTATAGGCACCAAGACTACCTTACATTGCAGTTTTAGAGAAACTATGAGGTTTACATTAAAGGGTTAAACTGCCTCTAGTGGCAGTCTATCAGACAGTTTGATTCTGTGAAATGACGCTAGACGTCTTCATGCTCTTCACAAGGACATCCATACTCAAGCAAAAGACCTACAGGAAAGCATTGAATTAATGTTTTCTTATGGGGAAGGCTTAAAAGGAACACTATAGGGTCAGGAACACAACTTTGTATTCCTGACCCTATAGTGTTTAACCCACCATTTAGGTAGCTTGCCCCCCTAAAAAGAATTAAAACTCACCTTATTTCCAGCGCTGCGCGGGTCCGCTGGAGCTAGCTCCGCCCCATTGGTGACATTATCAGAATTTCCGATTTTTAGCCAATCCAATGCTTTCCCATGTGGAGAGCATTGGACTGGCTAAAATCAGCAAGGGAGCGGGGCCAGACGTCGTTTGGCCAATCTACACCTCCTCTTAGAGACGCATTGAATCAATGTATCTCTTTGAAGAAAATTAAGCGTCCCCATGCAGAACGTGGATACGCTGAATGGCAGTGCTGCCTACTGTGAGGTGCCGAGCCAGGAAGCACCTCCAGTGGCCATCTGAGGAGTGGCCACTTGGAGGTGTCCCTAGGGGCAGTGTAAACACTGCCTTTTCTCTGAAAAGGCAGTGTTTGCATTAATATGCCTGAAGGGAATGATTATACTAATCAGGACAACTACATTAAGCTGAAGTTGTTCTGGTGACTAAAGTGTCCATTTAATTATTATTTTATTATTTATATAGCGCCATCAGGTTCCATAGCGCTGTATGTCTGTCAGTGGCAGACGTCAGCAGAAGAGGAGCGCTTCCCCTTACGGAGGGACATCCATCATGCTGGAAGGAGCTAAGTGTTTAAAGTGTTTTTCAACCCTTTCATGTAAGGGGAATGGGGAGGGCCAGGGGGACACTGGGATACTATAGTGTTAGGAATACATCTTTGTATTCCAGAAACTAGTGTTCCTTTAAACAATAGCTTTTAGGTGACAGTTGTCCTTTAGGCACTTCCTTTTTTTTTTTTTTTTTGCTTGATGATTATCTGAACTGGGAATCTGTAACAGGAAGGCAATTGTTCCTATTTTATGAGGCAATTTGAAGTACATTTATGAGAAACTGTTACTGAAAAAGTTCTCTGCTTGGTAGAAAGTCTTCTAAAGCTGAATGAATATCCACTGATTGTCATTTTTCCCTTTATGATGTAATGTTCTGACTCAGCTTTAGTGACAAATCCTCAAAGTTTTGCAACGCAGCTCCATATACCAGTTGGAAAGAAAGTTAAACCAACTACAAGAAACCTGTGATGCAACAACTGCAATAGTTGATACTGTTAAAGGTTCACACTGAACTGAAAGCACTACTTTGGGAAATGTGATTTCCTTGTTCACATCATGCTCTAAAAGTCTGTATCTGAAAATAAAGCTAACATCCCATTAGCATTTCAGAAATATTTTAAAATGTATTTTAAAAATGCGTCATTTAACTGTATTTTGTTTAAGTTGGCATTACGTTCAAATCCAGAATGTCTTTTAAACATTTTTTTGTAATCTGCTGCTAATGCTGCCTTCACGGTCCTTACAAATACCTTTAAAAAAAAAAGAAAAAAAAAAAAGAGTATTTAAAATATTTATTGTTTTGGTTTCCTTGTGACACTTCCTTTTTTACCAACATTTCAGTGAAACATGGTGGAAAATATTGCAAAACAAAGCACACTGAGTACTTTTTGATGCTTTTCATTTCCCAACAATTTCTATAAGTCATGAATAAATAAATGAAAAATGAAAAGTGTGCAAATGTGCATAATTTCTTTTTTTTTCACATTTGTTTGAAAAGCAATTTATATACAAATTGTCATTTTATTATAACTTTATGTTCTCGCTAAGCAACACAAGTATCAATTAAATGTTATGATACTATTGTTTCAAACAAAAAAGTGCTTAGTATTGAAGGGGTTAATGCTCATTAAAGGGACACTCCAGGCACCCAGACCACTTCTGCCCATTGGAGTGGTCCGGGTGCCAACTCCCACTACCCTTAACCCTGCAAGTGTAATTATTGCAGTTTTCATAAACTGCAATATTTACCTTGCAGGGTTAACTCCTCCTCTAGTGGCTGTCTTATTTACATCATTGTTTTTATTTATTTTTGTTAATTGTTTAGGGAAAGAAAATCATTCTTTTGGAGAGCTTGTTCACTAACACTAGAGGATCAGGAATAGATGTTTGTGTTCCTGACCCTATAGTGTTCCTTTAAACTATATTTTGTGTGTGTTTGTGAGAGCTGTGCTTTAACCCCTTAAGGACACATGACATGTGTGACATGTCATGATTCCCTTTTATTCCAGAAGTTTGGAATAACCCTTAAGGGGTTAAAGGGACAATATAGTGTCAGGAACACACACACATGTATTGTTTTTTCTCACAGATCAAGTGATAGCTGATCAATAGAAGGGGGAAAAAAAGGAGGAGCCATAAACCAACTTAGGCAGCTAAACAGGATTTTTCCAGACACTGCAACTACAGCTACTGTGGGAGACAGACTAACAGTAATACAGTGTGTTTTATCTTTTCTTAGCTTTATGCTGTATCTAGCAAGCAGCTGCTGCTGGGGCACATTAAACAACTTTGAACGAGAGATAGAAGACCAGCATTGTGTCATTGTCATCAGTGTGAGACTAGGTTATCATTACCAATATAGAGTTAGGTTTTATTTATTAACATCATTATTTTTATTTATTTTTGTTAATTGTTTAGGGAAAGAAAATCATTCTTTTGGAGAGCTTGTTCAGTAACAAATCCTCTTGTATAGCCTGGGTCATTGATCATCTCATGTTAGACAAAGCTTAAAGGGACCCTAGTCACCTAAACAACTTTATCTTAATGAAGCAGTTTGGGTGCATCAATCATGCCCATGCAGTCTTAAAGGACCACTCTAGGCACCCAGACCACTTCAGCTTAATGAAGTGGTCTGGGTGCCAGGTCCCTCTAGGATTAACACTTTTTTTTAATAAACATAGCAGTTTCAGAGAAACTGCTATGTTTATGTTAGGGTTAATCCAGCCTCTAAAGCCTCTAGTGGCTGTCTTATTGACAGCCGCTAGAGACGTTTGCTTGCCTCTCACTGTGAAAATCACAGTGAGAAGAAGCCAGTGTCCATAGGAAAGCATTATGATGCTTTCCTATGAGACAGGCTGAATGCGCGCGCAGCTCCTGCCGCGCATGCGCATTCAGCCGAAGAGGAGGATCGGAGGAGGAGGAGAGCTCCCCACCCGGCGCTGGAAAAAAGGTAAGTTTAACCCCTTTCCTTGCCATCCATCCCGGCGTATGTTTTCCTGGCACTATAGTGGTCCTTTAAGGCTCAATTCACTGGCATTTAAGATTAAATCACTTTTAGTTTCTGTTTATGCAGCTCTAGACTCACCTCCCCTGACTGTGACTGACACACCCTGCAAAATGATTTCATTGACAATCAGATGTCACTTACTTTGAAAGTTTTCATCTCATGCTCTGTAATTTGAGCTTTAATTACATACAGGAGGCTTCTACAGGGTCTAGCAAGCTATTAGCAGAGAAGGAGATAAGTAATTCTGAACAAAACAGAATTTGCAATAAAAGTTTAAACAGATGACTCTTTACAGGAAGTGTTTAGGAAAGTTGTGCAAATCACATGTAGGGAGGTGTTACTAGGGCTGTATAAAGAAAGTGATTTAACTCCTAAATGGCAGAGA